GTATGTGGTGCTGAGGATCGAACCCAGGCGCACGCATGCCAGGCGAGCGCGCTACCGCTTGAGCCACATCCCCAGCCCATTATTTATTTTTCTTTATGTGGTGCTGAGGACCGAACCCAGTGCCTCAGGCTTGCTAGGTGAGCTCTCTACCACTGAGCCATAATCCCAGCCCCTGAATTAATTAATTTTTGAACAAGTCTTTTTAAACAAACTTTTATTTGTTTTAATTAGTTATACATGACAGTAGAATACACTTTGATACATCATATATAAATGGAGTATAATTTCTCATTCTTCTGGTTGTACATGATTGTAGAATCCCACCGGTCATATAGTTATATATGTACATAGGGTAATAATGTCTGATTCATTCTATTATCCTTCCTACTCCCATACTCTCTCCCCTTTCTTCACTCCCCTCTCCTTAATCTAAAGTAACTATTCTTCCCTAGTTCCCCCCCTTCCATTATGAAATACCATCTGCATATCAAAGAAAACATGTGGCCCTTGGTTTTTTGGGATTGGCTTTTTAAACATTTTTCCAGTTCTGGGGATTGAACCCCAGAGCCTTGTACTCTACCATTGAGCTACATCCCTAGTCCTGTTTTTAAATTTTATTTTGAGACAGGATCTCCCTAAGTTACCCAGGGGGGCTTTAAATGTGCCATCCTCCTGCCTCAGCCTCCCAAGTGTCTGATGTTACTGACCCTTGCAACCAATCAAGCCTGAACACATCTTTTTTTAAATGATGGGACTATATGGTATTAATGAAACTCAGCTTTTCCCCCAAGGAGGAAAGAACTAACAGTCCTGCTTATATTTCCTGTACCTAAGTTTGCTCCTGCCTCAGGTCCTTAACAGATATTGACTCAGCTGCCTAAAACCCTCACAAAAATCTTTTCATGTCTACTCTTTCTTTCAAATCCTTTACCCAAAGTTCACCCTCTTAGACTTCACCAAAGACCACCCCTTTTAGTCTCTGCCCCTATGCTCTGCTTTTTTTTTTTTTAATTTGTGACTTGTTTATTCTTTTTAAAAAAATTTTTTTAGTTGTTGGTTGACCTTTTTTATTTATTTATATGCAGTGCTGAGAATCGAACCCAGTACTTCACACATGCAAGGCAAGTGCTCTACCACTGAGCTATAACCCCAGCCATGTGGCTTGTTTGTTCTGAGATTAATTTTTATTTTGTAATTTAATGACCTCAAATAGAATGTAAGTTCGTCAAGGGCAGGAAATTTTTTTTTTTTTCTCAAGTGCCTACCATAGTACATCCTATACATTAGAATGTACTCAATAAATTATCAGTAGAATAAATACTTTTGGTAGACTTAACAATTTTGCATATTAAGATGTAGTATATGCACTGTCTTAAAGTGTTCCTCCTTGTAAAATCTAGAAAGACAATTTGCAGGGGATAGAGGATAGGTGCATTTAAAAAATGGAAGTTGTGAGGATTTTGAAATAGGATTCAGACTTGTATAACTCTTTTTCAGATGTTCACTTTGGAAGAAATAATGTTAAGGGACTTTTGTCAGTGTTGTATTAAAAATTGGAAAATGCTGAACTTGATTTTTTTTCAAATATTTATTTTTTAGTTGTAGTTGGACACAATACCTTTATTTTATTTATTTTTTTATGTGGTGCTGAGGATCGAACCCAGGGCCCTGCAGGTGCTAGGAGAGCACTCTACCACTGATCCACAATCCTAGCCCTGAACTTGATTTTTGATGTAGAAGATGTTGAAAATTTAATTGGTGAATCTAATATTTGGATGGATTTTTAAAATTAAAATACTGGTAAAATTATAATACTTATATTTGGTGGGAGGGGGTTACTGGAGATTGAACCCAGAGGCACTTTACCACTAAGCAACATCCCAAGCCATTTTTATTTTTCATTTAAAGACAGGGTCTTACTAAATTGCTTGGGGCCTTGCTAAGTTGCTGAGGCTGGCCTCAAACTTGTGATCCTCTGCTTCAGCCCCCCCCCCAGCTGCTGGTATTACAGTTATGTACCACTGTACCCACAAAATTGCAATACTTACATTCTCATTTGGCTCATTTACAGTACAAAGAGAAACATTTTCGAATTTTCTTTTTTTTTAATATTTATTTTTTAAATGTAGATGGACACAACACAATGCCTTTATTTTCATGTGGTGCTGAGGATCAAACCCTGGGCCTCATTCACTCTACCGCTAAGCCACACTCCCAGCCTCCATTTTAGAATTTTCTGAAAAACTAAAAAAATGTAGAAAACTTTAAGTTCATGGGAAAGTGTCAGTGGATCAGCATCTTCCTGGTTGTAATATCAGTCTTCTGGTCTGTAGAGATTTTATTGAGAGTTTAAGATATTATTATGCCACATATGGTGGCATACCCCTATAATCCCTGCTACTTGTGGGTGAGAGACAGGATCGGAACTTCAAGACCAGCCTGGGCAACTTGATAAGAACTTATTCCAAAATAAAAAATAAAAAGAACTGGGGATATAGCTCAGTGTAGAGAGCTTGCCATAGACCCAGGATTTAATCCCCTAAGGGGGGAATATTATAAAGCCCCCCTCTTTGTTTTTTAAGCCAATCACTTTACATCTGCAAGGTTGAAAATCTTGGGATTTTTCCTGAGTGCAGCTAATTGATTTCCTTAGGCCTTTTACCTTGGTAGAGTCAGGGTTCAGTATTTCTGGTTGAATTCTTTTGGGTCTCTTCCATGTTCACAAGATCACCTCTCTCCTCCATGACTCCCCCCTAATTTAAAAATTTATCCCATTTTAGTTTTTTTTATTTATAATAGTTTCTGCTTATGAAAATGACATTCATTTGAGTTCTTCTAATCCAGAAGTTTGCACAACTGTTCTAGAAAATATGTTCTCAGTTTCTAGGACCATAATTGAATTTAGCAAAACAGATATTAAATGATTTATAATCATTGATGCTATATACTTTTTGGGAGGAGGTACTAGGGATTGAACTCAGGGGCATTCAACCACTGAGCCACATCCCCAGCCCAATTTTGTATTTTATTAGACAGGGTCTCACTGAATTGCCTAGCGTCTCACATTTGCTTAGACTGTCTTTGAACTCGTGATCCTCCTGTCTCAGCCTCCTAAGCTGCTGGGATTACAGGCATGCACCACCCTGCTGACTCCCACACCTTTACCATTCTTAAGTGTACAGTTCAATAGTGTTAATATGTTCACATTATTTTCCGATTGATATCTAGAGCTCTTTTTATCTTGTAAAATAAAACTCTTTGCCCATTTATACAACTGTAGCCCATTTCCCTTATTATTAAATGTGGTATGGCATGAATATGCTTTCATCAATAAATGCATTTTTATACTGTTTTAAATACACTATTTCATCAGTTTTTGAAAGGATAATATATGTGTTTGAAACAATTGAAACAAAATGCCACAGTGATATTCAGTAAAAGCAGCAAGTTTCACACTATTGTCCCCATCTAACTAGATTCTGTCCCAGGAGTAATCACCTTCCCCAGTTTCTAGTCAGTTGTTAACTTATTGTTTAATTTATGTACCCAGGCTTCACTGTTCTTCATTTTTTGTTAATATAAAAGCACTGAAATGAGAATCTGTATGGCTAAAACTTTAAGCACTTTCTTAATTATTTTAAGATAAATCCTTCAGGGGTTGAGGTTATAGCTCAGCAATAGAGTGTTTGCCTAAGTATGTGTGAGGCACTGAGTTCAATTCCCAGCACCACATACAAATAAATAACAAAAATAAAGGTCCATTAACAAATAAATATTTTTTTAAAAAAGGTCCATCAATAACTAAAACAATATATTTTAAAAAGATAAATTTTGCAAAGAACTGTTTTAGTTCAGGCATTGTGGTATACACTTGATCCTTGCTACTTAGGAGGCTGAGGCAGGGAGCAAAACTAGCCTAGAAAACTGTCTCAAAGTAAAAAATAAAAAAGGTGGGACTGTAGCACAGTGATTGAATGTTTGCCTGGCATGTGTGAGGCCCTGCATTCAATTCCTAGTACTGCCAAAAAATATACATATATTTTTCTGGATCACATATATATTTTTAAGGTTTTTGATGCACACAGTCAGACTCTGCATAGAAGTAATGTGCTTGTTTTCTAATTCTCCAAAAATATATGCCAACATCAAGAAAAATTATTTTAATAAATGAGTTTTTAGATCTTGTGAACAAAGTTGACTACCTATATGCTGAAATAATTTTCTAGGTGATTGTTAATTTCTACTCTTTTCTCCTTCCTGAAAGGTTCTCTTAAATGTTTTCTTGGAGCCTTAAAGATGGAAATGACAGAAATGACTGGCATGTCTCTGAAACGTGGGTGCCTTTCTATGGAAGATGATGACAGTGCGGCCCCAACTGAAGAGATAAAAAAACAGAAGGTCTCTGAATGCTGTCTGACCAAAAGACCAGATGGGCTGCAGAATGACTGCTTACCCAATAGAGAAAATGTGCCTGGGCCACCAGAACCTGTAAGTGCCAAGAGAGGCAAAATGACTTCTGATGATCAGTTGGAGGAAGAGGAAGAAGAGGAGGAAGATGGCCTTTCAGAGGAGGGGGAGGAGGAAGAGGAAGCAGAGAGTTTTGCAGACATGATGAAACATGGACTTACTGAACTTGATGTAGGCATCACTAAGTTTGTAAGTTCTCATCAAGGATTCTCGGGAATTTTAAAAGAAAGGTATGGTTAGTTTATGTATAGTTATTTTTAATTTATTTCTTTAGAAAGAAGTGAATAATATATATGATCTTCCATTTAGCTTTCTGACCCCAAAGATTATTTATGCTTATGGTCAAAAAAAGAATAGAATGGGGGCTGGAGATGTGGCTCAAGCGGTAGCGCACTCGCCTGGCATGCGTGCGGCCTGGGTTCGATCCTCAGCACCACATACCAACAAGGATGTTGTGTCTGCCGAGAACTAAAAAAAATAAATAAATAAATATTAAAAATTCTTTCTCCTCTCTCCTCTCTCACTCTCTCTTTTAAAAAAAAATAGAATGAAGGAGAGCTTCCTAAATGAGTAAATAGTCTTGAATTTTCTAATATTTAAAATATTAATATTTAAATAGAAATCTTGGTGTATTCTTGTCAAAGGCAGATCCTTCCCAGAATTCTTGGAATAAAGATAAGTAATTCCCCCAGTGATATGCACTTTTAATCAGTGGATAGATGCTGTTCACTTTGTTAAATTGTTTTAAAAGATTTCATGTTTTCCCTTGAATTTGATTTATAATCTTAAAACACTTTCACCTGAATAGAAAGAAGGCAGTCTTGGGGCTGGGGATATGGCTCAGTTAGGGCGCTCGCCTGGCATGCATGAGGCACTGGGTTCGATCCTCAGCACCACATAAAAATAAAATAAAGATATTGTGTCTACCTAAAGCTAAAAAATAAATATAACAAAGAAAGAAAGAAAGAAAGCAGTCTTTGGAAGCAGATGGATCTGGTTGTGAATCTACTTCAGCCATTTAATAGATACTTAACTCCTCTAACCTCAATATCCTCCAAAAAACAGATCATGATACCATGGAGTTGTTGAGAGGATCATAAATAATAGATGTAAGATATTTAACATAAGAGATAATGTTGGGTGGCTTACCAGTAAACTTATTGACTTTTACTTTTTGGGGTAGGGTCCTGGGTTGAACCCAGGGGTGCTTAACCACTGAGCCACATCCCCACCCCTTTTTTGTATTTTAGAGACAGGGTCTCGCTGAGTTGCTTAGGGCTATGCTAAGTTGCTGAGGCAAGCTTGGAATTCGAAATCCTCCTGCCTCAGCCTTACAGGCATGTGCCACTGCCCAGGTGACTTACTGACTTCTGATTTAATTAACCATTCATTTTATTTTATCATGCGGTTAAGTATGATCTGTCTGTAAAATCACAGGTTAACATTAATAAGCTTTTGTTTATACATTTCTCAGTATTTTGCTCTGGAAGAATATTCTAGAAGCTTCTGATAAAACGTAAGGCACGATGTGATTTAACATTCAGTATCCCAGCAACTCAATGCTGAAGCAGGAGGATCATAAGTTTGAGGCCAGCCCAGACAATTTATTGAGACTGTGTCTCAAAATTTAAAAAGATTAGGGGTATAACTTAGAGGCAAAGCCCCCCCTGAATTTAATTCCCAGACTACAAAAAAAAAAAAAACTCCCCCAAATTTCAAAAGTTCCTATAACTTTACACTAAAGTTTTGTTTTTTGTTTTTGTTTTGTAGTTGTAGGTAGACACAATACCATTATTTTATTTGTTCATTTTCATGTGGTGCCGCAGATTGAATCTAGTGCCTCACATGTTAGGCCGCACTCTACCACTAAGCCACAACTCCAGCCCCTGAAGGTTTTTTTTTTTTAATCCCTTTTACACAATAGTAAGACTTCTGTTTATAAAATTTATTCTAAAATTGTAAGAACTAAAATGTTAAATCTTTGAAAATTTGTGTTATCTTTTATCAGATACTCCGACTTTGTTGTTCATGAAATCGGAAAAGATGGACAGATCAGCCATTTGGATGACTTGTCTGTTCCGGTGGATGAGGAGGTAGATGTAGTTCTCTAGCAACAGTCACCTTCTATACTAAAATAGAATTTGCTAGAGATCGTAGATATCGTATCTTTGAATTCTGTTATGATTCATTGTGAATTCTGTGATTCTTTTATAGGATCCTTCAGAAGATGTATTTACAATTTTGACAGCTGAAGAAAAGCAGCAACTGGAAGAGCTCCAGCTTTTTAAAAATAAGGAAACCAGTGTTGCCATTGAGGTAAGTAGTACAGAATCACTTGCAAAGGTTATAAGGGTTTTTGGTTGCTTCAATATTTGAGGTAGATATTAATAAGCATCAATTGAAAAACAATACAATGTTTAAAAATGGGTGACCTTGCCCTGTTTGATGTAAAAGGGCATTTATACTAATAAATAGTTTTTCAGGGTTAAATTATGCTATAAACTATAGCAAAAAAAAAAAGTTATCTTTTTGTTAAAAAAAAATATGAACACAAATCACAAAGAAATCTGTTACTTAGAACCAGAAAATGACAGCTATATTGCTGCAACAGGGCTTCTCACCCACCCCTGTGGTGGCTCTAGCTTCAGCAGCTTCTTGGTCTCCAAATGGGGAGGGAGTAACTGGGTGAAAGAGGTAAGGGCACACTTTCTTCAGCCCGTGTCTGCTTCTGCTATTTGAGAAAAAGAAAGTTCAGCTACTAAATAGAATAGTAAATGCCATTTTATTTTATTTTATTTATTTATTTTTAGTTAGACACAACACCTCTATTTCATTCATTTATTTTTTTTTTATATGGTGCTGAGCATCGAATCCAGAGTCTCGCACATGTGAGGTAAGAGCTCTACCAATGAGCCACATTCCCAGCCCAGTAAATGCCATTTTAAAAGCATTTTTTTCTTATGGAAATTTTATTCTCCTAAGTTAGTGCTATCCGGTGGAATCATGATGCCAGTTTTTTGGTTTGTTTTGTTGTTTTGTGGTACTGGAGATCAAAGCCAGGACCTCACATGCTCTACCACTAAGCTATAATCCCAGTCCCCATATTTTTAATTTAAAATTTTCCGAGTTGCCACATCTTTTTTTAAAGTAAGAAAAAGTGAAGTTTTTACTGTAAGGGTATATTTAATTTACCCTATTATATTCAAAATATTATTTCATTATATAATCAATATTTTTAAAATTATAGAGATGCTCTCCTTTCTTTTTTCCCTTTATTGACCTGCTGGATATGGAGTGTTTGAAATTCTCCCTCCCATCACTTCCGATTAGTAAGAGTTTGCTGCAACTTTTCACATGTCATAATCTAATTCCAACACTCACCTTTCCTGTCCCTCCCCACCAAAATTCCGAAGAGTTTGTGATATTATAACTTCGGGATTTCCAATTACTGAATTTACCCATAGACAACATCCTTGGCAATCCCACGTAGAATTCCTAGGAACAGGTTTTTAGTTTTTATGTTTCTGGGAATCAAGGGCCTCATATTTGCTAGCACTCTATGTTGAGTGGCATCCCCAGCCCTAGAATAGGTTTTAAGAACAATCCAGGAGGATATTCCACGTTTCCCTTACTTGTATAATACAGTGGTGTATCAGCTTCATAATAGTCATTTTTCTGCACATATGATAAAATTAATTCTTATTTAAAAAACTATGTTTTTGCAGTCTACTAAATTTTAACTTTTAAAGGGCATAAATTTTAGGCAAGTTTTCTCATCTCTAAAATGAAAATGAAAGCCAGGTGCCATAGCGAACGCCTGTAATCCCCGCTGCTTGGGGGGCTGAGGCAGGAGGATTGCAAGTTCAAAGCCAGCCTCAGCAAAAGCGAGGCGCTAAGCAACTCAGACCCTGTTTCTAAATAAAATACAAAGTAGTGCTGAGGATGTGGCTCAGTGTTTGAGTGCCCCTGAGTTCAATACCCAGCACCAAAAAAAACAAAAAAAACCAAAAAAAAAACGGGGGAGGTGGAGGGCTAGGGATGTGAAAGCACCCTGGGTTCAGCTCCCAGAACAAAAAAAAAAGAAATCCAGGCTAGGGCTGTAGCTCAGTGGCAGAGCGCTTGCCTACCATGCGTAGGGCACTGAGTCCAATCCTCAGAACCACATAAAAATAAACAAATAAAATAAAGGCATTCTGTCCATCTACAACTACAAAAAATGTATTTTAAAAAATCCAACTAAAATGAAGAGGAAAGACTGAATTTTTGAGGTCTAAATATGAATTCACAAACACAAACTATGATTCCAACTTATTGCTATTAGAGTTTCAGATCTAGACTCACTTATTGATATGAAAACTCATTGATCTATAATTAGACTGTTGTTGTTTGCAGTACTAGAGATTGAACCCAGGCCCTCATGCATACTAGGCAACCATTCTACCACAGAACTACGTTCTGAGCACTTTTTTTTATTTGAGACATTTTATCTTTTATTTTCATCATGCTAAGTTGCCCACACTGCTCTTGAATTCACAATCTTCCTGCTTCGACCTCTCAAGTAGCTGAAATTACAGGCATGTGCTACTGAGCCCAACCAGTTTGTTTTTTGTAAAGCATTGTCAAGTTTAGTCAGTAGCAGTTGTAGTCTTTTTGTCTTATAGATTGCAGATGATCAGCTGGTCATGAAATCAAGTTAGTATGTCTCGAGATCAACATTTTTTTGTGGGGGGATACCAGGGATTGAACTCAAGGACTCTATACCACTAAGCCACATCCCCAGCCCTATTTTGTATTTTATTTAGAGACAGGGTCTCACTGAGTTGCTTTAGTGCTCCACTGTTGCTGAGGCTGGTTTTGAACTCATGATCCTCCTATCTCAGCCTCAGCCTCCCGAGCCATTAGGATTATAGGCGTGCTCCACCAAGCCCTGCTTTACAATCACCATTTTTTAAATTAATTTTTTATATTTATATATGACAGTGAAATGCATTACAATTTTTATTACACATACAGAGCACAATTTTTTCATATCTCTGGTTGTATTCAAAGTATATTCACACCAATTTATGTCTTCATACGTGTACTTTGGATAATAATGTCCTTCACATTCCACCATCATTTCTAACCCATGCCCCCTCCCTTCCCTCCCATCCTTCTGCCCTATTCAGAGTTTGTCTATTCCTCCCATGCTCCCACTCCCTACCCCATTATGAATCAACCTCCTTATATCAGAGAAAACATTCGGCATTTGGTTTTTTGAGATTGGCTAAACTTAGCGTTATCTAACTCCATCCATTTACCTGTAAATGGCATGATTTTATTCTCTTTTATTGCTGAGTAATATTCCATTGTGTATATATGCCACTTTTTTTAATCCATTCATCTATTGAAGGGCATCTAGGTTGGTTCCACAGTTTAGCTATTGTGAATTGTGCTGCTATAAACATTTATGTGGCTGTGTCTCTGTAGTATGCTGTTTTTAAGTCCTTTGGATATAGACTGAGGAGAGAGATAGCTGGGTCAAATGGTGGTTCCATTCCCAATTTTCCAAGAAATCTCCATACTGCTTTCCATATTGGCTGCACCAATTTGCAGTCCTACCAACACTGTATGAGTGTTCCTTTTTCCCCACATCCTCACTAACACTTATTGTTGTTTGTCTTCATAATAGTTGCCATTCTGACTGGAGTGAGATGAAATCTTAGAGTGGTTTTGATTTTGCATTTCTCTAATTGCTAATAATAATGAACATTTTCATATGTTTGTTGATTGATTGTATGTCATCTTCTGAGAAGTGTCTGTTCAGGTCCTTGGCCCATTTATTGACTGGGTTATTTGTTTTTTTGGTGCTTAACTTTTTGAATTCTTTATATACCCTAGAGATCAGTGCTCAATCTGATGTGTGAGTGTAAAGATTTGCTTCCAAGATGTAGGCTCTCTATTCACCTCACAGATTGATTTTTGCTTAGAAGAAACTTTTTAGTTTGAATACAATCAGCATTTTTTAATGGAAATAAATAAAATAGAAAATATCTTTGTATTCAGTACCAAAAAAAAATGTTGGCATTTTTTGGTGAAGTCTTTTTTTTTTTTCAATATGGCCTGTACTGTACACCCATTTATGCTATTAAGTAAAATTAAAATGTGTTTCTTAGTGTGAGATGCCCTTAAAAACTGAAATGTTGTGTAACCAATAAATTTACATTTTGTTTATATAAAGAATTTTCTTTATTATGAACCAATGTGCTAGAACCTCACTATAAAATAATTGCACATAGAATAACATTCAGCATGAGGCAGCTGTAGACTGACTAGACTGTCCAAGGGACAAAAAGGCCTGACTTGCCTACAAATTTACTTGTGGGCCCTAAAGCATTTGTCTAGCAAAGACACTTATAGGAAGCATCCTTGGTCAGTGGCCCCAGAGTCTAGTAGCCTAATTTCACATCAGCTCTCTGCCCTCCCAACTATACAGCTTTGGACACATTCCACAATAGGTCTCAGCCTCATTTTCCTTATCTTGAAATAGATGTAATGATGGTGTGATAGTGAGATTATGGGATTAAATAAAACAGTGAATGTAAAGAGCTGGGGATAGTGCCTGGCAGATGGACACATGTGATCAGCAGGCCCTTATGATTTGCCATATGTGGAGCTCTAAAATATTTCTGAAATTGTACTTAGGCCCTTTTCTTATTTTGCATAGTTAATGAGCCGTGTTTTTAACTAATTCACTGTATTATTTCCTTATTTAATGTTTGTTAAAGGAGTAGTGTTACTCTGTGTTTTTAATAGGTTATTGAGGACACCAAAGAAAAAAGAACAATCATCCATCAAGCTATTAAGTCTCTGTTTCCAGGATTAGAGACAAAAACAGAGGATAGAGAAGGGAGGAAATATATTGTAGCCTACCACGCAGCTGGAAAAAAGGCTTTGGCAAGTAAGTGTGTGTGTGAACCACTTTCTAGACCCTACTCTTTGCTTACTTTATTTATTCGTGCCAAGGGCTGTTTTGCTGTTGTTCATAGAAAGATACTGATCATGTCACACCTTTAAGAGAGGGTGAATATTGTTACTTCAAATACCAGAGCAGCCTGCAGCCTCTCAAGTAGAGGGCATTTGGTCTAATAAGTTAGTAAAAATTGGTGGAAATTATAATGGTGCCCAAGAGATTGTTAGAAATTTGATATGTTCCCCAAAGAGCAGAGTGGGCTGAATAGCAATTTAAAGAAGTAAATGGAAGGGCTGTTGCTCATTCTGTATTCTTAATAGAGGAAAAACAGATTTCAGATGAACAGAAATGCTCATCACCTATTCTAGGGCACATTTTGTGCTTCAGCTTTCCAATTAAGATTATCTTCTTCACTCACACAAAAAAATTATGGGATATTTGGAAAGATGACCCCTTCACCTGAACCTATCTTCCATTGTGTATTGTTTATTTGAAATGGGTCTGTTGTTAGTGAGTTACTTTGATATTCATGTCCTAATCTATCTCCTATAGCCAAGAAATTTTTCTGTTTGCATTAACCTTAAGAAAAATTAGGTAATGTTTTTTCTCTTTCCTATCAACTCAGTGGATAAAATTTTAATGAAAATGACAATAGCAAAAAATTATTTCCTCATCCTTCTCTCCTACCAGTGATATTCCCTAATAGTGATCAGTTATTTCAAGGTAGATTTATTAGAACAAAACTCACAAGACTGTATAAAAATCAACCCATTAGGGACCTGTCAATATTTTCTAACTTAACTTAAAACAGATTACTATGAATATATGAAGCCTTAATTGTGTATAACCATGTTTCTAGTGAAATGAAATGTTATAAAAAAAGGAAAAAAAGGCAGCAGATAAAGTTAACTAAGCCTAAGAAAATCATGTAGAGAAATGAGAAACATCGAGGAATTAGGGAAGAGAAAGTGATGATCAGAGGCCACTCTGAGTTGATATAAAAAAAAAAGTAAGACCATGTGTTCTAGAGCTGCTTGTAGCAAGAGTTGTTTATTATATTCTAGTTCCCAAACTAATGGCTTGGTTACCATATGTTTCTTTAATGTCTGGGTCATGTAAGAAATAGTACCTTAGTAGCCAGGGGTGCTCAAGAGAATAAGCTCCATAGGAAATAGCTTCAGTGATTTTTTTTTTTTTTTCAATTCTCCCAAGGATGATGTATAGCTAGTAACTATTCTAGGAATAGAAGAGAGAAGATATGGGGCTGGGGATGTGGCTCAAATGGTAGAGAGCTTGCCTAGCATGAGTGAGGCACTGGGTTCGATCCTCAGCACCACATAAAAATAAAATAAAGATATGTGTCCACCTAAAACTAAAAAATAAATATTAAAAAAAAAAAGAAGGGAGAAGGTGATTTACTACATACAACAATGCCATAGGACATTGGTCTAATTCTTTCAAGGAATGCAGTTCAGGAGGCTGTTAGGGAAATGGGTCTTAGGTAGGCAGCCACTACCTCTGTGAGCTGAGAGGAAACACAAGGTCTTGTTCTGCTTGTTGTGGTCATGAGGAAGCAGATTGGAAAAGGCAAAACATATTTTTGACTGAATGCTTCTTAGAAATGATCTTCATTTCATAAGGGATGCTAGATTTTGTGAGAAGAGGAGGGAGTTTGCAAGCCAAGGTGGCCATTACAGTTTCTCTCCCTCTAAGTAACTTGTGTTACATCTCTCAGGTTCTGTCTAAATCAGAATTTCTGTGTTTATACCAAAAACATGTTTCATTTTTGTAATACAAAATTTTCTTTAGGTTTTCCAGCTGAAATGCTAAACTGTAGGACATGAATCGCCCATTTCCATCTTCCTTTATATATACATTATTAGTAAAATATGAGTTTCTGACCTTAAAAAGAAGCATGAGTTGAGTATGGTGGCACATACCTGTAATCCCAGCTTCTTGGGAGGCTATGGCAGGAGGCCCTCAAGTTCAAGGCCAGCCTATCTCAAAGAAAGAAAAGAAACAGATGGACTAAATTTCTATCTTCTGAGTGCTGATCTCCCATTACCCCACAGAAGGCTGTTCTCTTGTCTAGATAGTTACTTGGGAGATTGTATTCACCTTTTCCATGTCCAGCTTTCCCATTCACAAGCTGATAGAGTAGCCTAAGGTAAATGCCACTCAGAATGGAGGGAGAGCTGTTATCCAGAAACTGTTGTTCATGGCCCTACAAATAGAACCCAGTACCAATGACAGCTTGTCCTCCTTGGCTTTCTTGCCTTGTATTTGACTGTATTAGCTTTTAAAAAAAAAAAAAAGCTTTGCAATTTATTATGATTTAAAGCTCATTTACTACCAAGCCCCGATACAAATTATTATTGATGGGTTATGCATTATCTAATTTGCAATATTCTTAACCTAACTTTTCTCAACTATAATAGTGCTTCCTAAAACATAGAAGTGGTACCTTCTAATTCTCGGATCCCAAACACCAAAAATAATGAACTATTTAAATTCAGGCATTTTTTTGTGTTTATGTGTTAGGGTACATTTCGTTATCTACCAAAACATTTATTTCCTGAAAATACCATATAACTTATAACATTCATAAATAAGTACATTTAATATACATTTTGAGATAGTATACATTGCAAATGTTTCTAAAACTTGTTTTTAAAGACTTAGGATTAAGAAAGACGTTCTGCTCTGATATATTTATACACTAGTTTTTTTTTTTATACTTTCTAAAAATAAATGGTTCTCAGGAAGGATTGATCCTTGGACCTAGCAATCCACAAACTTAGAGGAAGAGCCTGGAAGGTACAAAGAGGCTCTCTGGGAGAGAATGGTATTACACAATCCATAGGAATAGGAATACAATAATAAGAATGGTTAGCAGTGTGAAATGGCACATATAGATCTCATAAGGTGGGAACTGTGAAACAAATCTGTAACTTTAGTAACATGGAAGTCACTGGTGTCTTTTTACTAAAGCGGTTTAATGGAATGATGGATGAAGTTGGAAACCAGTTTACACAGCAGATTGAGATGGAAGGCAGTATATACAGTCTAATCTATACAGACTGGCTTTTCAAACAAGCTATAAAGAGAAAGGAAAAGGAAGAGAACATGCTTAAAATGGAAGAGTCCTGAGTATATTTAAGTACTGAAGAGAAGAGACAGTGGAAAGGGAGGGCAAAAATTCAGGGAAGAGTATAATGAAATAATGGATATAGTAGGATCTCTGAAGAAGCAGCAAGATTGGTATTCAGGGTGCAGTGGTAAGAATGGACTTGAGTAAGAAGGAAAGAATGTTCTGCATGCTACCCCATCCTATCATCTTCCTCAAGCTACATTTTTTTTCTTCTTTATCCATGGGGACATTTGTGCTCAATACATGAATCTTTCTGAACGTGGTTTCCCCTTTTTCTTGTTTCTATTTCTGCTAGTCTTGGGCTGCCATGGCAGACCCTCAGAAGGTAGAAGTAACCTTCTGGAAATAAGATGTATATTACCTAGCCTAAGAATTCTTTGCATTATAAATTGGAATATCTAAAAAAAATGTTTGAAAGTTACCTTAAATTTATTTAAATTATAAAGCTAAATATATGTACTTAGCATTCTAAGGGGTTAGAGTTTTATAAAGTAAAACAAATTGTCCAGGGCTGGGGATGTGGCTCAAGCGGTGGCGCGCTTGCCTGGCATGCGTGCAGCCCGGGTTCGATCCTCAGCACCACATACCAACAAAGATGTTGTGTCCGCCGAGAACTTAAAAAATAAATAAATAAATATTAAAAATTCTCTCTCTCTCTCTCTCTCTCTCTCTCTCTCTCTCTCTCTCTCTCTCTCTCTCTCCTCTCACTCACTCTCTCTTTAAAAAAAAAAAACAAATTGTCCAAAATAAGTTGAAACTCATCAATTTCTGTTATTCAAAATATTCCTAGTTAATCAATGGAAGTTTTTTACTATTTTGCATATTGAATGCACTTTGAAAAAAATATGTTTCTTATTGTCAGAGGAGGTAATTTTATGCATGCTCATTGCTTGGATTTACTAGTAGGGGATGCATGCTTCTGAGTCAAATTCATACTCATACTTAGTTGTCATGGTTTCCATTAAGGGGTAATAGCATTTAGTTTTTCATCTTGTAGGTGTAATTTATTTTTTACCATTATACTTAATTGTGAATATACTTAAGGGTTAGTATTTCAAGAAAAATGTAGCTACACTTTAACAACTTTCTTATACTTGTTTTTAAAATTTTTATTGAATGTGCATTCTCAAACATATGCACACATAGAGGAAGTAGTGTATGGAAACTATATGTTCCCATCAACCATCTTCAAGATTATCCACATTCTAACAAAATCCACTATTATGTATAATTATAATGTGCCAATAAATAAATAAGTAAAAATAAAATAAAAAGAGATAGTTAACATTCTCTTGTTTTTGTTTCATCTATCCCTTTTTTTTTTCCTTTTTTCCTTATTGGAGCACTTTAAAGCAAATTCTACATAACTTGTCATTCCACTCATAAATACTTAAGTGTGTGTTTATTAGTAAGGGCTAAAACCCAAACTATTATCATATCCAGGAAAATCAAAATCATTTCTTAATATCTAATACCCAGTGCATGTTTAATTTTTCCCTGAGTATCTCAAAAATGCCTCTTATGTACACAGCTTCTTCAAGTAATGATAAAAACAAACTCAGAACACTTTACTCAGGTAGGGGTGCGGTAGTGCATGCCTGTAATCCCAGTAGCTCTGGAGGCTGAAGCAAGAGGATCATGAGTTCAAAGCCAGCCTCAGCAACTTAGCGAAGCCCTAAGCAACTCAGCGAGATGCTGTCTCTAAATGAACTATAAAAAAGGTATGGGGATGTGGCTCAGTAGTTAAACACCCCTGTGTTCAATCACCAGTCCCCACTCCCACTCCCCTCCAGAAAATAACTTCACTCAATGGATAAGTCTCTCAAATCATCTCTTAAATCTCTTTTAATCTGTAAACTGGAGATATTTTCTGTACTAATCATTAAACATTTTCAAATTTAAAAAATCTTTATAGTGTACTGCAGCTTATTAAAAAAAAAGCACAAAGCAAAACAATAACTAACTATTGCATTGGGCATGTCTTCCCATATTTAAGAAAACAAAGCTCTAAATGGGAGAAGCATTTGATACCCAGTCTTGAATCTTTTGCTAATTTCCACGGGTTAAATAGATAGTGCACTTTTGAGGATGAACCAACATGCCCATTGTGAAAAGTTCGAGACAGGGAGGCTGTAGTAGGTGAGTTTTCTACCTTTTTCCCTGTTTGCCTCCATCCCATTCCATTGTTAATGTCTGAATGGCTGTTGACCCATCACATAACTATTAGGTGCTGTAGGAGTCCTCAGTATAAACTTACCATGCGATCATTTGCATGTTCACCTCTAAATTACTTTAGGATTATTATAAATTAAACATTGCTCTCTTGTGCTCTTTATGCTGTGCATTTGGACAGAGGTCAGAACTGCAGCAGGTAAGAGCAGTTGGTGTTTCAATGTAGATTAAATGAAATGCCAATGGTTTTGTTGCAAGTGCTATCACCTTCCTTAACTGATAGTGAACTAACTGGAAGGAAAACCAAATGATATTCCTACTCAAAACTTTCCGAGGAAATTGTGACTACTTCACATCAAGAGATAGTTGTAATACTTTTCTGTACAGGACAGAAAAGACTTACTTATCCAGGAGGAAAGTTAAATTTTCTAGGCATACCTATCATGACAGTTTTCTGAAATGGTTTATTGATTCTTTACATTGGTTTATGGCTTTTTTAATTGTAGCTGAAATCACTAACTTGTTATCAAGCAGGGTTTTTGCTTTGATAAAGCCAATTATGCAGTTAACCTCAGTATGAGGAACATCATAAGCCTCTGCAGATAAAGGATTCCATGAGTTCATGTGAAAAAATTGGGGAACAAAGACAAAGGACCATTCCTTAAAAGAAAAGGATTCTTTTTAGTTAATTGTGCAGAATATTATTTCAGTTTTTCTTTTTGTAATTACAGAAGTCAAATGAACTAGATATGTTTTTTAAATAACTACAGCTCTGTCACACAAGACTCATGAATATTGTACAGTGTCTGCAAAGTGCAGCTGTGGCTCGTGTTTTTCCCAAAGTAACAATTATTTAAAACACTCTTTAAGCAGCTTAAATCTAAATTTTATATTGTTTAAATATATATATATTTCTAGATTACAATATAATTGAAATATTCAATTAAAAGAACAATCTTAAAAATGAGGCTCTCCTAGGTCATTCGGTATTTATCAGTCCCCAAAGAGTTAAACAATTGAAGTAACACTAGCTCAGAAGTTAGCACCTAATATGGCTTAATTTTTAAGAGTTTCCTGCCAGGTGCGGTAGTACACACCGGTAATCCCAGCTGCTTGGGAGGCTGAGACCTAATCATGAGTTCAAAGCCAGCCTCAGCAATTTAGCAATATATATGGCATATATTAACAATAAGCAATCAGTGAGACCCTGTCTCTAAATAAAATACAAAAAAAGAACTGAGTATATGGCTTAGAGATTAAGTGCTCCCGAGATCAATCCCCAGTACTGAAAACAACAACAACAAAAAAAGAGTTTTCTTTTCTCAGGAGTGACAGGTCTTGAATGCTAGCTGTTCTCTTTTATCAGGGTAATTTTTTTTTTAGACCATTTGTAGACATAAACTAAACTTTTGTAATGGAAAGACCTTTGGAAAAATCTATTCATTTTACTTAGATAATTTGTCATAAACTTAACTTCCATCCCTGCTACCATATGTTTGAACACCTGATCCTCACTCTTAGAAGAGGGTTGTAGATTCCATTGTAGCTGCTGTTTCCCTTTGGACTGCATGTGTTGTGGAGCCAGTTGGGCCCCCTGTCAGACAGGTGCTAATAGGAATTGTGGGCCTCGTCCATGTGTGTGCCTTATAAAGGTTGCTTGTTGATCCTAGTCATTTTTTATACAACATACATTTTAGCTTTTAATTTAACTTTTACTATGGTATATATAACATACACTTTTTTATTTTTAAGATCCAAGAAAACATTCTTGGCCAAAATCTAGGGGAAGTTACTGCCACTTTGTTCTGTATAAGGAAAACAAAGATACCATGGATGCTATTAATGTACTATCCAAATATTTAAGGTTGGTATTTTGTTCTTATTCCTTTACAAAATCAGAGCATTACTAATGTGTTTTTTGTTTTGTTTTCATTCCTTGCTAATGGAAAAAGAACAGGAGCATAGATCAGTAGACAATAAATGTACCTACCAGTTTTCTTAGGCAACAGGTAAATTTTTTAAGCCCCGTGCCAATAATTCAAGAAGATAATTCTGAAAGTAAATAATTCACATATTGAGAGTTATCGATTCATAAGATGGAAATGAAAATTGACTTTCTCCCTTAAACCGTAGTTTGATGTGGTTGCAGGGATTGGCTTTACCAAATGGGGAGCTCTCAATTCCTGGAAACTAACTACATGGAGAACCTGGAATCCAGGCACGTTTTCTCAGAGGGTGCAAATGTAGCAGAGATTATGGTCTTTAAGGTTGGGACAAGTGCCAAAGCTTTTTTGGTTTTACTTTGTTTTTAATAGAATGGCTGTAGGCACCACAACAAATCTGTGTGCTGTGAAAAGTTACCTAAATTTAAACATGGTATCAGTTTTATGTAATCTGGTGAATTGCTTATGATCGATGGAAGTGCACTGTTTGCTTTTTTTTTTTTTTTTTTTTTTTTTTACTGTCTAGCCAAGTCTTTGAACAGTATCAGTTACTAATAACCACAGTGTTGTAAATCAAGCACTGTAAGAAGTTTCTCCCTATTTTACTCTTCCTCTGTTTATTTTAAATGTACTTATTTTGAAACTTAATTATGAGAAATATGATTTCTTAAGATATGTGACTTTGGGTTGTTGTGTTTCTGTTTTACCAGAGTGAAGCCAAACATCTTCTCTTATATGGGAACCAAAGATAAAAGGGCTATAACGGTTCAAGAAATTGCTGTTCTTAAGTAAGTAAAGATTACTTGTCAGGATTTCTACTGCGAAAATCCTAGCATCACTTTTCTGAGTTCTCACATTTACTTTATGGGATTTACGTCTTCTCTTCATAAAATAAGCAATTCCATGATACATATTTGTAGCTAAATCTTGGCATGCATTTATGATAAATTCATTTAAGATAAACTAGCAATTGCATTATTGACTAAAAGGGAATATGAGCTAGTAATAAGTTTTTTTAACCTTTATTTTATTTGTTTGTTTGTTTAATGTGGTGCAGAGGATGGGATCCAGTGCCTCACAGGTGCTTGACAAGCGCTCTACCACTGAGCCATACCCTAACCTTGCTAATGATTTTTGATAGGCAAGCCTAATTGCCCTGAAGAAAGGTGGCACCAATTTACCACCTTTATTCTAGTGCCTCCCCAGCACAGTATTATAATGGGGGGTGGGGAGTCTCTTATTGATTTGAGAGTAAAAAAAATGGCATCTCATTATTTTATTCTGCATTTTTTGATGTGAAGTACTTGATTTTTTTAAGACGGAAGACACTTCTCATTTTGGTCAGCCAGCAGGTGTCATACCTGATCAGGATACTGCTCTGCCCTCAAAGAATTGTGCTGCCTTTATCATTTTCCTGTTGATTTCATAAAAAAACATATCAGACACTTAAATTTTGGCCTTTTGAAAGCACATAACACTTATCTCACGGATACAGGCTACACCCTTAGTTTGCTTAATGGATCTGTGGGGCCAAGCAGATTGGCCTTTCCCGTGAGAACTAGTGAACAGGATACATCCACTCTGCCACACAAGGATTTTAATTTTTGCTGAATTGATCAGTTCTGGGGATAAGCAACATTTCTTTTCAGCTTCATGTATCTCTAAAGCCGCCTAGTAATTTCTACAGGATCTCAAGCAGGAACAGCACTATTCAGAATGATTTGTTTCTTTTCCTGCCTGTGCCTGCCAGTACTTGGGCCAATACTTCCCTGGCTTTGTTAACAAATGTTTTTGTGCAACTTGTCAGTTAAGTTGGCTCCTACTATATAAAAGTGAGATTGTCATACTCTCTAGTCATTTAAATTGCAGGAAATTTATTATCAAAGAACTTTATCTAAGATCATCAGAATTAAAACAGTGAGCAGTATAATGAAGACATTGTCAGCTCCACCCATATTTTCTCAGCAATATGACCATCAAAAATTGAGTATAGCTATGGGGTTTTGCTCTGCTGAGGGATTCAGAAGTAGATGTCTATTGTATGTTCAAAAAATAATATTATTCAGCCATAAACAAGAATGAAGTACTGATATATTTTGCTACAATATAAATCTTTAAAATCTTGCACTAAGAAGTCAGGCACAAAAGGCCACATAATGATTCATTTATATGAAATATCTCAAGTAGGGGAATCTATAGACAGAAAGTGGATTAATGGTTATCAGGAGCTGCAGGGAGAGGAAACGGAGGGAATGGGAGTGACTGCTAACTAGGTGTGAAGTTTTTTGTTCATAAATCCATGGAAGCTGGTGTGATGGCACACACTTGTAATCCTAGTGGTTTAGGAGGTTGAGGCAGGAGGATCACAAGTTCAAAGCCAGCCTCAGCCACGGTGAGGCAGTAAGCAACTCAGTGAGACCCTGTGTTAAAATTTAAAAGGGGCTGGGGATGGTAAATTACCCCAGGGTTAGACTTCCGGTACCAAAAAAAAAAAAAAATGTCCATGAAAGTTTTTAGAATTAGAAGAGTCTTGCACAACATTGTGAATATACTAAAAACCACTGAAATGTATACTTTATAATAGTTAAAATGGTGAATTTTTATGTTAATTTTATTAAAAAAAAAAAAAAGCTGCTGTCAGAAACTATTGGGGCATAGTATCTATAGCTCTCTCTCTAGGACAGCCAGATTGCCAATTGGATTTCTTTTTGTCCTTGATCTGAATTAGTCTGTCAGTTCCTGCAGTGAACTGACCAAAAAGGAATCTGGTCCTCCTGTTCCTAAATTTATTCATACTGAACTTCTGCTTTCTTTCTGAATTCTTGGGGATACATATCCTGGATTAATTCACACCTTTGGGTTCTACTGTCATCCCCATACATTTGAACACTAGGGCCTGGTGCCTCCTAGCAACTGACCCACAGTTGGACTATACCTGCTTTATCCTTTTTTGAACTTGTCCTGGATTATGTGTGGACTTGGGAATGGACAGAGGACAGGGAAAATGGAGTACAAGAGTGGCCCATTTCCTGATTTCTCTGGCTGTCTTCCTACCCTTTCTGTTAATTAATGGGGCAGTAACATTTTTATTTTCCCTCAAGAAACCTGATCAGGCTGCTCCTGCATGTATCAAGCCAGGAAGCAATAGGGTGGTATATAGGGTATCAAGGGATTATCTTTAGCAAATATGAGACATTTCATCAAAGAAAGAATTCTGTGAGATCAGATTGCAAGTTGGTAGAATATAGATGAGTTTTTAACAATTTTATTTAACTTAGAATAATATATTTATAACCAGGAAGTAGGATAAATTTTTACCATTACTTTTTTCTTAGTTTTGGGAATTGAGAAGTCCACAGGGCAGGCTACACTCCTCTGTTGAGGTATTCTATGATGAGCTACTTTGGGACAGAACTCAGCCTTTCATGCAGGCACAGTGCCTGAATTTGCATCCAGACTTCCCTCAGGTCAGTATTCCCAGGCAAAACGAAACATGGCTCCTGATAGCAGAAGTGAGCTCAAAGACCAACACTGGGAACGGCTGACAGACTCTGGAAGAGTGAAGTGTGTTCTTCAGCATAGTGAATGAAGCACACATGCCCTTTGTTTTGCTGATTGCAGTATGAGTAGATGTCTTTTCAAAGGAAATCTGAATTTAGAAAAATTAAAACCTAAAGCCAATTTTTTATGTACAGTGATGTATCGTGGCATTATTTCATATGTTGAAAATTAGAAATAATTCCAACTGATTCTTCTTACATAAAATGAATACTTAAATAAACTTAATTGGATGAATTATTTTTCTTAAGTTAAATTATTTCTCCTAATTAGGAAAAAAAATCTCTTTATTAAAGTAGAGATTAAGGAATGCTGTCTTAACATGACAATATATAAAATGAAATGCCATGTCTCAGTGATATACTAGAAACATTTCATTTACAGCAAGAGGAAGATAAAGCTGACCTCACTATTGTCATTGATCATTATTCTGGACATAGTAGCTTATGCAAACAAACAAAATTAAAAAGTAAGAGGGCTAAAAATGAGAAGGAAAGTGGCTAATTTTTTGGTTTTTATGAATGATATTGTTGTTATCTACTCAAGATTTGATTGAAAATTATACAAGATAAGAAAAATTAATACATAAGAATATACAACTAGAAATTTCAGAGGAAAAATGAAATCTATTATAAAGGAAAATGAAAAAGAACCATTAGGATCAAAGATTTCTTGAAAGCATAAGATACCTTTTAAAAATACACTTTGCAGGCTGAAACATGAATAAAGAAATGATAAAACCTGTTCTTAGATATTTATAAACCTGTCTTCTTACTGAAAAAATGTATAAACAACATCCCCACTAATAAAAATACTAGTGTAAGTTTTCTAATTAATCAAGCTGAGCATAACATTTGTGTGGAAATGTTAAGATGTAAAATAAGTCTTAAAATTCTGAAAAAAATGACTAATATAGGAGGATTTGGGGGGCTTGGGCCATAGCTCCGGGGCAGAACACTTGCCTAGTGTGTATGAGGCACTGGGTTCGATCCTCAGTACCACATAAAAATAAACTAATAAAATAAAGGCCCATTGTCCATATACAACTACAAAAATAAAATAAGAAGGAGGAGGATTGGCCTCAGTATTAAAGGATATTGTAGAAATATAGCAACTGAAGCAATTTTAACATTGGCAAATTATGAGGTAGAAAAATTATAGGCCTATATACATTGAAGGACTTAGTATGTATTCAAAGTAGCATTGAAAATAACAGAAAAAAATCGTTGACTCATTGTTGCTGAGAAAACTGGGTTGCCATCTGGAAAAAAAAAAAAGTAAAGTTGACTACCTACCTTAATTTCATATGTCAGATAAATTCCAGGTGGGTTGAACATTTAAACATAAAGATAAAACTGAAAGTATTCTACTAAAACCTGGGGTGTTAATAAGTAATCTCTGACTAGGGACACCCTTTCTATGACTTGAACCAGAACTTTTTTTTTTTTAATAATTCATGAATTTGACTAAAATTTCTGCATTTCGTTCTCATTTACAGAAAAGTGTTGTCAACTGTAGGGGGAATGGTAAGATTCAAAAAAACACTCTTTCAGTGGACTGTAATATCTTTGGTGCCTAAACAGTTGGCTGAAGTAAGGGTACTCTGTGAGGGCAGATTTTTTTACACAATTTCAAAAGTGTGCCTCTATAGATCACTAAAAAAAAAACAAAACAAAACAGGGAGAAGTACCTTTGCAGTGGAAAGACCTAATAAGCACCATCCTAATCAAGTGATGAGCAAACTAAATCATTGTTTGGGGTTTTGGTACTGGGAATTGAACCCAGAGATGCTCCCACTTTATATAGAGACTGGCCTCACAACCTTGTCTAGGTTGGCCTCAAACTTGGATTCACGTGCTTCAGCATCCTGAGTAGCTGAGATTACAGGCATGTGTGCCCTGCTGAATCATTGTTTTTGATGTCATATACTGAACACATAATGAACAGGACCACAATGTCACCTAAGTAGTATTTCTACCAGTATGTTTACCTGACTTTACTCACAAAGAAACAGAAAAATCTAAATTGAAAGACATAGAACAGCTGACTGGATTATTCTAAAAGTCATGAAAAACAGCACGTTAGCTAGATCCAAAATTTGCTCCATGAAGACCAAATAGATACCACAACCACAATATGTGATCCTCTACTGGATCCTGAATTTAAGCAACTTAGAAAACAAAACACATAAACAGAACCAGCTGGATGCAGTGGTACACACTTGTCAACCCAGCTACTCTAGAGGGTGAAGCAGGAAGATCGTAAATTCCAGTTAGTCTGGGCAACTTAGCAAGACCCCATTGCAAAATTTAAAAAATAAAAAGTGTTGAAGATGCTTAGGATGTTCAGAGGAATGACACCAGTATCAGCTTGGCTGTGATGAGGACCTTAGGAATAATGGCAGTGGTAGGAGCGCATACAAGAGGAAGAAAGGGTATTGCCAAATGGGAAGCTAAAGAGTGATTCAGGAGTCAGGCATGCTATTGTCATGATTCTCTCTATAGATCCCAGAGAACTTCATTAGTCCCTTTTGAGGACAGCACACACAAACACACCCACAATGACTTAAGGACTCCCGGCTAGGCTATACCTCTTAAAGGTTCAGCACCTCCCATAATTTCACACTGAGGACCAAGCTTCCAACTTATGAATCTTTAGGGGGCACACTTAAACCATATCCAAATCATAGCAAGGAAATAGAAACAGGGAGGAGGCAATGGATATCTATATATTGGTGGTGTGAGCATAAATTGATTCAACTTCTGGAGGGTGATAAGAGTTAAAATTTTAAATCCACCCCTTCTACTTTTAGAGATTCTATCTCATACAAATACCTGTATAGGTGCACAAAGAAATGTACCTGAGGATATTTGCTGTAGAATTGTTTGTAAATAGCAAAAGATGGATAGCAGCTTAAATGTTCACTGAAAGAAAGGCTAGGAATATGGGGCTAGGGTTGTAGCTCAATGATACAGCACTTGCCTAGCAAGTGTGAGGCACTGCATTTGATCCTCAACACCACATAAAAATAAATAAATAAAACAAAGGTATTGTGTCCATCTACAACTAAGGGGAAAAAAAGGCTGGCGGTATAGTTCAGTGATAGTAGTGCTTGCCTTGCATGCTTAAAGCCCTGGGTTTGATCCCCAACACTAGAGGAAAATTACCTACACTCAAACGTCCATTAAAGGACAATGCAACAGACATACTGTGCAGCTGTACAAAGGATGAGACAGCTTCAGAAATACTGTGTGGATAAAGCAAACCTCTAATAGGCATTCTTTAAATGACTAAGGCAAAATGCTCAGCTTTTTTTTTTTTTTTTTTTTTTTAATGTTTCCGTGCTAGGAATTGAATCCAGGGCCTTATGTAGTCTAGGCAAGCATTCTACCACTGAGCTATATTCCTCAATCCAATATCTGTGTACCCAAATTTGCTTTTTAAAAGAGAGGACCTAGGGGCTGGGGCTGGGGTTCAGTGGTAGCGCACTCACCTGGCAGGTGTGAGGCACTGGTTTCCATTCTCAGCACTGTATATAAATAAATGAGAAAAAGGTCTATCAACAACTAGAAAAAAATTTTTTAAAAAAGTACATAGGTACTTGTTAATATGGGTGTGCTTACTTTGTGAAGATTTATCAGCTGACCTTGTATGATTTATTTTTTCTGAACAGAAAGCATGCATATATATATAAAGCTTACTAAAAATATATACAGAAAATATTTCTGGAGAAATATATAAAAAAAACTTAATATTGACTGTCAGTGGGGAGGGCCATTGGGGATTGAGATAGGATAAAGGCTTTTCAATGCAGGTTTTTGTTTTTCTACATAGATTTCCTATTGAGGAAAACAAGGAATTTTTAATGAAATTTTTATAATAGCATAGGAAACATTTATATTAAATGGTTGCAGCAGAGTACAGATTTGTGGGAGGGTACCGGCTATATATGTAACTTTAACATGTGTTTAAAAAAAAGAATGGGAAGAAATTCAAAGTTAGATTGAACAGATTTTTTTCCAGGGGATGAACCTATGAATTTTTTCTTGCTGCATTTTTTTGTGTTTTCCAAGTTTTCTGTAATAAATTCACAGTATTTTTCTGATAGACAAAAATGTGACTGACCATTTTTTAAATGCTTTTTACCATTCTTTATAATTATATGGGAATGCCACCATCCCTTTACTCACTTCCCCCCATGAAAAAAATAGAAAATTTCACAAATATTGTTGTTCTCTTACTCAGTGTATTAACCACAAAGGATTTAAGTGTGTAAAATATGGCCTAGGTCATGTTATTCCCATAGAAGCAGGCACTACTGTGTTGACAGAAAGAAAAGAAAATTGTGTTACCCCAACCTTCTGCAGTGCCTGTCTTTCCCAGCAGTCACAGCTATGGCGTAGTCTTGTTTTCTGTAGTAAGGTATCTTAGGCTATTTCAGTTAGACAATAACTCATGATTTTCCTTCTGCTTCATTTTTTTTTTTTAAAGAATAACTGCACAAAGACTTGCCCACCTGAATAAATGCTTGATGAACTTTAAGCTAGGAAATTTCAGCTATCAGAAAAACCCTCTGAAATTGGGAGAGCTTCAAGGGAATCACTTCACTGTTGTTCTCAGGTAAAGAACTGAACTGAAGGAATGCTGACCAGAGGTATCGTGCCTGGTCATCTTGAATCTGTTCATAACAGTTGTTAATCAGGTGTGGGTTCACTGGTATTGGGCCTGAGGGGGCCCTGAGGTAATTGCTTCTATAGTATTTATACTGGAAAATAATCTCCATTCTCCTTTTAAAAGCTTAGCACAACCTTTGGAAAAACAGTCTTCTTCAAATACTGTGTTAAAAGATAGCCTGTGATTTCATTTCATTGAGATACCTGAAAGAGGCACATCTGCAGAAAGTAGAGTAGAGGTTACTGGAGGCAGGGAGGAATGGAGAGTTATTCTTTAATGGGTACAAAATTTCAGTTTGGGAAGATGCAAAAGTAAGTAATAGTGATAAAGATTACACAATATTGTGAATGTACTCAAAGCTATTGAATCATACATTTAAAAATGACTAAAATGATAAATTTACTGTTAAAAATATATTACCACAATTAACAAAGAGCCCTCAGGAGAGGGAGAGAAAGTACAAGGGAGCAAAGGAGATACATAGACGGGTCACAATCATTTATAATTCACATCCCTAAATGTGTTTGGCTGTAAATATTTTTCTCTGGATAATTTGGGCCCCTGCAGAAATATAACAGGAACTGATGACCAAGTACAACAAGCTATGAACTCTCTCAAGGAGATTGGATTTATTAACTACTATGGAATGCAAAGATTTGGAACTACAGCTGTCCCTACATATCAAGTTGGGAGGTTTGTATTTAATTTTGTGGCTTTTATCTAAAAGAGATCTCTTATAAAAAAAAAAGTAAGGTTTTTGTTGTTGGTGTTTTAAATTATTTCTAGATTTCTTCATGTTTAGGGTGACTAAATTGCTGATCCACAGCTTCTTTTAATTTAATTTTTGTTCTGTTTTAAGATAATGCATACACAGGATTAAAAAAAAAATTCAGAGTTCAAAAGAACATGACCTGGGAAGTAAGTTTTTTTCCCACCCTCAATAGCCCCTTCAGGGATTCTGTTTTTATTTTTAAAATAAGTGGCCTAGCAGTTGTGTGACTCTTACCCAGAATAGCCAAACTGAAATGATATATTTTATGATCTCTGTTAGCAAATGATTCCCAGTGTGTTAAACTGTGACCTGTCCTTCACCCAACCCTTTGAAGAAAGTGGTAGAGGACATACTATCTAGGGTAAAGTAGGGTAGACATCATATCAATAAATATTTAGATTATAAACCTACATTTGGAATCCTGCTAACCAGCAGAGATAATGTTCCATAAAGTAATTATTCATGTGAGTTAAAATTGTAGTTACAGGTTGGAAGTGATCCAAGAGTTGTCATGCCTTATGTTTCAACCCTTCATCTTAGCAAAGATGAAATTTAGGCTTAGAGAGGTCAATCCAAACTCATTTGTTACATAGCTATGGTTCTGGAAATAGATCTTTCTTGACTTCTGGTCCATTTATTTTAGCAACTAACTACACAAAATTGCATTTGTTTGTGTGATTTTAGAAGCACAAAATGATAAATTCTATCATGTATTTCTTTTACCCTTTTTCCCCTTAGTTCTGGGGATAGAACCTAGGGATCCTCTTCCACTGAACTATATCTTCATCCCTTTTTATTTTATTTTGAGACAGGGTCTTGCTAAGATGTTGAGGCTGTCTCAAACTTGCCAACCACCACATGCTTCAGCCTCCCAAGTAGTTTTAAAGCAGTGTTGTGAAGGATAAAAGTACAGGTTGAGAAGTCAAGCTTGGATTATCATCCTTATTCATCTGTAAAAAGGAAATAATACCAACCTTACAGGACAGTGAGATGTTGTTTATGCAGCACTTATTTCTATTCATTTTATATAGTAAGTACTCAGTAAATGGATATTAATATTTTAAAATTATAGCATCTGAGGATGGTGGTGTTTACCCATAGTTCCTGCTACTTGAGCAACTGAGACAAGGATTGTTTGAACCTAGGAGTTTGGGGCCAGCTTGGGTTACATGGACCCTGTCTCTTAACTTTATTTTTTTAATTTTAATTTTAATTATTATTATTTTTTTGTGTGTGTGTTGCTGGGGATCGAACCCAGGGCCTTGTGCTTGAGTGGCAAGTACTTTACCAACTGAGCTATATCCCCAGCCCTGTCTCTTTAAAAAAAAAAAAAAAAAAAAAAATTAAAGTTTACTAACCATAGAAAAAAATTGTTACCAAGATGATAACTATAAAGAAAAATACATTATCAACCTTGCTAATGGTTACAGGACGTGGGTAAACATAGTAAAGATACTAATTATATTATGAGACAAACATTTAGGAAGGATGTATCAATCTATACATTTGTAATTAATTCAGCAGAAGGAGAGCCATTAGACTCTGTAATTTTTGCTCTCTAGAGATAATTGATACAAATAGCTAATTAAAATGAGACCAGATTTATCCAGGATCAAAAATTGTATAGCATGCTTAAAGATCAGTATAGAGTCAGTTCAAAATTCCAAGCCATTTCCATAACCTGCTTCTTAAAAACACATAAAAATGAGGGGCTAGGGTTGTGGCTCAGAGGTAGAGCGTTCACCTGTCACATGCCAGGCTTTGGGTTCGATCCTCAGCATCACATAAAAATAAAGGTATTGTATCCAACTACAACTAAAAAATAAATATTAAAAAAAACCAAAAATGATAATACACCATGATCAAGTAGGTTTCATTTCAGGGATGCAAGGTTGGTTCAACATAAGCAAATCAATAAATGTAATTCATCACTTAAACATAATTAAGAACAAAAATCACATGATCATCTCAATGTTTGCAAAAACACACTTTGATAAAAATCCAACATCCTTTCATATTAAAAATGCTGGAGAGGGGCTGGGGTTGTAGCTCAGTGGTAGAGCACTTGCCTGGCATGTGTGAGGCACTGGGTTGGATCCTCAGCACCACACAAAAATAAATAAAGGTACTGTATCCATCTATACAACTAAAAATTAGTAAAAACAAACAAACAAACAAACAAAAACAACACTGGAGAATCTAGGGATCAAAGGAAGTTTTCTCAACATCGTAAAAGACCATTTATAACAGATCCAAAGCCTAACTAGAGAAAAACTAAAACATTTTTTCTAGGAACAAGACAAGGCTGTCCACTCTTCAATATGCCTTTACAACATAGTCCTCAAAACATTAGCCAGAGTAATAAGGCAGGAAATCAAAGGGATACAAATCAGAAAAGAAGTCAAACTATGTCTGGTTGCCTATGTATGATATGATTTATCTGGGAGATCCCCCCCACCAAAAAAGAATTGTGTGTGTGTGTGTGTTTTTCCCTATCTTCAAAGAAACCTACTATTACTACTATAGGACCTTCTGAGGGAATAAACAAAGTCTCAACTCATAGTTTTAAGAAGGAAGGATGACTTCCAAATATATACAGAAAGAATTCTTATTTGCCGCAGTAAAAAGACAACCCATTCTAAATCTGAGCAAGTAGTCTGAACAGACCTTTCTCCACAGAACATAGATACCTTTTAATAAGCATATAAAAAGATGCTCAGCATCACTAATCATTAGATAAATGCAAATCAAAACCATAATAATATACTGCTTTATCCCCTACTAGGATGGCTAAAATTAAAAAAAGAATAACAAGTGTTGGCAAGGGTATAGAAATTGGAACCTTCATACATTGTTGACGGAGATATAAAATGAGACAGCCATTTGGAAAACAGTCTAGTAGTTCCTTAAAAGGTTAAATAGAGGGCTGGGGTTGTGGCTCAGTGGTGGAGTACTCGCCTAGCAAGTGGGAAGCACCAGGTTCAATCCTCAGCACCACATAAAAATAGAAGGCATTTTTTTTAAAAGGTTAAATAGAGTCTCCACCTGACCTAGCAATTTCATGCCTAGGTATACATACCAAAAAGAACTGGAAATATTACATTCACACAAAAATTTTCACAAATGTAAATTTATCATCCAAAAGAGTAGAAACAACTGTCATCAGCTGATGAATTAATAAATGAAAAGTGATGTACAATAGAATATCATTCAGCAACATAAAGGAAGGACTTACTGCCACATTCTATAACATGAATTATTTTTGAAAACATGAAGTGCAGAAAGCCAATCACAAAATACCACATTTTGTGATTCATTTGTATGAAATGTCTGGAATAGGCAAATCTTCAGAGGCAGGGCCAATAGGGAGCTAATGAGATAGGATTTCTTTGGGGGTGATGAAACTCTTCTAAAATTATGAGATATGGCACAAAAGGCCACAATGGCAAAAGCCATTGAATTTGTACACTTAATGGGTGAATTATATGGTATGTAAAGTCTACCTCAGTAAAACTTTTTTTAAAAAGATGGAGTAAATCCTCACATATCTTGGTAAATGATTCTAAACAAGGGTGATATGACTATCAGTAATTATAAAATAGTGCTGGGAAAACTGGAAAGTCACATGCCGTATACCAAAGTTGACTTTTCCCTTATATATAAAAGTTAACTTAAATGGATCAAAGAAACACAAGAACTCTATCAAAACTCTTAGAAGAGGCTGGGGATGTGGCTCAAGCGGTAGCGCGCTCGCCTGGCATACGCACAGCCCTGGGTTCGATCCTCAGCTCCATGTACAAATAAAGATGTTGTGTCCACTAAAACTAAAAAATAAATATTAAAAAATCTCTCTCTTTTTAAAAACAAAAACTCTTAGAAGAAAATCTATTAGATTTGTTAGTAGTTCCTTAGGTAATGCACCAAATACAGTCAGAAAAGAAAAGAAAAAATGGATAGTTTGTACTTACCAAAATTAAAACAATCATTTGTGGTGGAACATACTTGTTACCCAGCTGTGTAAGAGTCTGAGGTAGAGGATCACAAGTTGAAGGCCAGCATGGGTAACTTAAATTTAGGCAAACTCTGGCCTCAAAATAAAAAATAAAAAGGGTTGGAGTTGTATGTAGCATTTGTGCATTAAACAATATTATCAAAGAAAGAAAAGGCAGCCTGCAAAATGGAATAAAATATTTGCAAATCATATATTTGATGAGAATTGTGTCTAGAATATAAAAAGGGCCACAACTTAACAATTTAAAAATAATTAAAAATAATCAATAAGTACATTAAAAGATACCCAGCATCACTAGTCATTAGGGAAATATAGATCAAAATTACAATGAGATACCACTTTATACTCACTAGGCTAAGTAAGTGTTGGTAAGGATGTAGAGAAATTGGAACCCTTGTGCATTGCTGGTTGGATTATAAAATGGTTTAGCCACTATGGGAAAGGATGGCAGTTCCTCAAAAAATAAAATGTAAATGACCATATGATCCAGCAGATCTACTTCTGATTATTATATAAAAGCAGGAGTGAACTGATGTTTATACACTCATGTTCATAATGTCATTATTCACAATAGACAAAAGGTAGAAGTAACCAAAGTGTCAGTGAACAGATAAAAAACAAAATGTGATACATGCACTCAAGGAAAATAATTTATCCTTTAAACTGAAGGAAATTTTGCGGTGTGGTAGCACAAGTTCAA